CAGACCACATCACTCCATAAAATAGAAAATAACAATCATAAAAGATCAAGCCAAAGTGTGGCTGTGATTGTGAAAGATTGGAACTAATAAGTTAGGAATAACTTAGGAATAGTAAATGGTACAATAGTAGTCAACAGGTCCAGTTGAACCTCTATCAGGAGATTCACTTGTCGACTTAGAATATGCCGATGACATAGTTCTATTTGATGAAGACGCTGACAAAATGCAGAGTCTTCTGACCACTCTAAGCAGCAATGCAAGCATGTTCGGCATGCGATTCTCCCTCTCGAAATGCAAAGTGTTGCTTCAGGATTGGGTTGCATCGGCACCTAAACTAGTGATAGGGAGTGAAGTAGTTGAGCGTGTCGACCGCTTCACTTATCTTGGGAATCTTTTCAGCCCTTGTGGTCTGGTGTGTGACGAAATCTCAGCACGGATACAGAAGGCTCGACTAGCTTTCGCCAACTTGCGTCATTTATGTAGTAGGCGAGATATCCGTCTGTCAACCAAAGGACGGGTTTACTGTGCAGCAGTTCGTTCCGTCCTACTTTATGGCAGTGAAACATGGCTGGTAAGAGTAGAGGATATTCGCAGGTTACTAGTATTCGATCATAGGTGTCTTCGAAGCACTGCTCGTATATTCTGAGACCACTGAGTAAGAAATGCAATTGTTAAGACATGGGTAACAGATAAGGATGGCAAATCAATTGATAAATTAGTGAAACTTCATCAGTTGAGATGGCTGGGTCACGTGTTACGTATGCCCAACCACCAACTGCCCCGACGTGAGGTATTTTATGATGTAAGAGTAGGTTGGAGGAAGGTTACGGGCGGCCAGACCACAATATGGCATAAATCCATGAAGTCACTGACGAGCCGACTGAGCCATGTTGGTAGGTGTAGACGACCTGGTTGGAATCCGTGAGACGATAGCAAACGATGATCAGAGACCTTGAATGATATAGCTCAAAATCGTTTGCGACGGCGCAGGCGCATCCACTCTTTATGTTTCCCCAAATTCTAATCTGAATTCTTTATGCCCCTTTTTTACTCTTTCCAAATTTACTTCATTGGATTATACTCCCTGGATAACATCTTCAAACCCCATTGTTTCCGATTAGCACTTATACTTTTACTTTCAAGAATATTTATCAGTATTAAACATCAGATATTTTTCACTTTTTATGTCTATTTTATAGCTTAATATTTCATGGATAAGACTAGCTAATCATTTTGTTCGCTTTTAGTTACTGTTTGATGATGACGTCTTGTTTTTTTTTAATTGACCTTCAACATCGTTATAACAAACAACAGAGTTTCAGTTTTCATTTGAGGAAAAAGATAAGTAATTTTAGGGAACAAAAATCAGGGTTTAGCTTTTGAAATTGTTAGTTTAATGAATTCATTTCATACAATAATGATATAACTAAGGAATTTTCAGTAAAGACTTATTCCATCAGTTCGACATACTTGAAATTCCATTGTATGAATACTTTGTTTAGCAAAAAAACCCTCTCTTCATATTTATCTAAAGTTATTTATTCTCTGAAGAAGTGGCTTACACTGAGTCACGAAACGTCAGATAGTCTAATGTTTCTACTCATTCCGATATTACAAATATATTACTTTTTTATTAATAGCAATGCTCAAGTTATTTGAAATTATCAAGTCAAACTTTGGTAATGATGCCTTAAATATGTTGCTTTATAACTAAAAACATAAACTGATGAGCGCTGAATACTTTCAGATCAATATTTGGTGGTCCACTTATAATGTTGTATACCTATATCACTTATCTCAGATTATCAATAACAAGATTCAAAATTATTTACTGCTTTAGCACTTGGCAGTTCCCTCAATGTTTTCTGTATTTTTACCTTGTTAAATAGTCAAACTCACTCCCAACAAACTCATTTAGCACAGGTCAACGAGTAAATAAGCAAGAGATGGCTTATTACATTGAATTATGGATTATAACGCATTCAGAATCAGTTTCATAGCTTTTCAATGTAGTTGCTTCTTCGATCATGCCACTATTATAAATTTCAATTTCAAACCCTTAGAAAATTTATCCATATTCCATAAACATTTTCATAGATAAAGCTATAAACGGACGAACTCAGATCTAGACACTAATATAAACTGAGAGTATAAGAGATGTGTTGGCGTCAACACAGAGCAGAGTAAACTAGTGATTCAAATATACTATAAATAATTTCAAGACATTGTGCTTCGAAGTTTTTAGTGGTGGTCCAGATTAGATGGACACGTTATTTCAACTATGGAAACCTGTTACCTACAAATATGCTCAAAGCCTATTTGTGAACCAAGGGACCTAAAGGGAAACTAACCATACTATATACGCTTATCGCATTATTGCTGTAGGTATGGTGTCAATTTCAAAACTCAATCCATTTCTTTGAATTTCTATTGTATAGAACAAGTCGGACCGACTTTGTGACCGTTTAACAGTGATAGCAACTCACAATTGATTGATCACTGGGTGGTGATCAATGTCATGCTTGTCTAGTTCTTATTAGTGCAGATCGAATGCTATCAATCATGTTGCAATGTGGCCACCAGTCTAGGTGACTCGACACTGCGGGCACTATGTATTGAGATTTAGATGGTAGTTGGAGGTAGTCAACAGGAAACCCTGGACCCGGGTTTCGTGCTACTTGGCACTCGTCAGCAAGGTGTACCTGTAATCTTGAGGGAACTGGTGCCAAGTGGCACGAAACCCGGGTCCAGGGTTTCCTGTTGACTACCTCCAACTAGCATCTAAATCTCAAGTGATAGCAACTATAAGCTAAAGGATTCTGTTTCAGATTTTGTATTTCTAAAAATAGAATAACTTGTTTAAGCTTAAAGAAAATCAAAAGCGTTAGTGATGGATATTATGTTCATATTGTCCTGTTAGGATATGACCAAACACAGCTTATAGAAATGTAGAGATCCACACTGAATCCTCATTTGAAATGTTTTGTTTACCCAATATTAGTGTTTGAATTTATACTTAATAAATAAAAGGAATGCTCATCACATGTTTCCAGATGGTGCCTTGAGTGATAATACACACAATAACCCATACTTTGATGTATCTACCTGATAAATGTAATACGTAAGGATTATTTATCGTCAATTGGCTTCATTCGAGCACTGTTTAGCCTTATTATGATTGAATTTAATATTTACTACCGGAAAACTTTTTATTGTATGTCACTGGTTTTAAATATCACTCTGTGGCACAGAACTTTAAAAAACATTGTGATAACGTCTAACGAAGACATTAATCACACACAAATATAAATATACTTCATGAATTTCCTTCTTATTTGAAGGAAATCATATGAATGTGCCATTTCTTTCCAAAATAACAATGGTATATTGATCTTTGTAAGCGCTTGATTAAGATGTTTCCCGTCAGTCTTGTCTGATTCCCGCGCATTATCATTGTCAAATTAAACACCTGTTCCAAGTTATACTTATATGTTATGAGCTTAACGGGTTTTTAAAGTTATCGATTATTATCTCTTAACAGAATAGCTCAAAACGCCTAGTGTAAATGCCCCAGATTTACTGAATGACATAGAAAGTCATTTATACACTATTCATAAATGCGTATTCGCTCACTAAGTAGATTATTTTAAAGTAATTACATGAAAACTAACCGATAACATAAAATTTACTGCCTCCAGTCAATGACAGCTGATTTACCTTATAAATGAGCAGACACGATATCTGGAAGAGACTATAATTTATGGACGACATTTGAGAAACGCTAAAATGACCTTAAAAATATCCACCTACTTAGTATTGTTAAATGATGGTTATAAATTGGTGCAAGGAATTAGAATTTACAGTTGAACGTTGGAGTTGGAAATTAGGTTTAATGTTTTCATAACAAATTGACATAATTTATAATGCCGAATCGGTATTTAGCCAAATGAGTGGATGAATTTCGCGCTGAAGTCCAGGACCTGCTATCGTAAATCTGACTAGTTCGTCCATAAATTATAGTCTCGCCGCAGTTTGTCAGATGACACTTTATGTTAAAAATGTTGTTCAAACAAAGCCAAATACTACTGTGGTCTAACTCTTACATGGATATTCAAAATATTTTGTCGGAAATATATTGTTTTCGTTGACGTTTCCATAAACTATTTGGGACATATAATACAAGGGGCTATTTATAACTCTTTGTAGATTCATAAGCAAAGATGGATAGTGGTTAGCAGTGGAATCCAGGACAAAGCGCGTTTCATCCCGTTTGGAACTCATCAGCCGGATGTACCTCCATCTTAGAGTTGATGGTCACTGATCAATTGCAGTCCTAAACATTCAAGTAAATAATACCAAGTGAATTTGAACTTCACCCCATTGCAAAAGCAAGTGGCTAAAAGCAATCAGTAGCTAAGTAGATAACGCTATGGCATTTGAAGCGAACGGTACTGGGTTCGAGTCCAAGAGTGAACACAAACTTTGAGATGCAGGTACATCCAGCTGACGAGTCCCGAATAGGACGAAATGCACGTCTTGATTTCCACTGCTAGCCACTATCCATCTTTGCCTATAATACTTGTGAATTAAGGCAATATCGAGGCAATACGCATATATACCAATAAGAGACTGATCAAATTCAGTCCAAAACATCCATGGGAAGATTCAAGTAAGCAATATCAATTGAATTTAATCTTCATAGCTTCGTAATATCACAAATATTTATTAGAAGCTTGTTGATATAATCCTCAAGTGTACACTATCTAGCTACAATTTTTTTTTAAATTCATGGTTATTGATTTGATTGTAATAAAATATCACTCAATTAAGGCATATATTCATATTATACCAATAGACTCAACTGTGGTGATAAAAATACTGACATGCATTTTGTTGATGTGTTTTATGTATCACAAAAATCAGGCGTAAAATTCAATCTTCCTGGTTGGTTGATATAGATACAAGGCCAAATATTTAAACTTTTATTGCATAGCACAACAATTACTTATCTGTTGAGCTTGATCATGAATAGATAAGAAATTTTGATGCTACTTACTAAAATATTATTCAATACATACCAACTAGAAGTCCCTTGATCAAGTGATGTGTATTTATGGAAATGGGTAACTGTATTCCATCTGGTATCGATCTGAACGACATGGTTCATGCACCCCAATCGAATAAACTAAGAGATAGTTCTGGAATTTTGCAATGCAACACATGTGAGACAATGGATTATGGAAGTAGTCCAAATGATTTCGGTCTAAACGAAATGGATTCTGATATAAAACTTCCCCTACTCACACGAATATTCTCACGCCAGACACACCACAATAACTCAAGTAATGGTGATTTTCACCCTGATTCACTTGGAAGTAACGGGCTATTTTCACAAAACACTGGTAAAATAAACGTATCTTCAGGTTTAGTTAAACAGGACATGAAGTGGAATTCGCAGCCTGCGCGACCAGTGTTGGAACTATTTACGACTCCATCCATGAGCAGAGAACTAGATACCCCAAGCGAAACTCAAAAACTATTACCTTATACTGCCGAAAATATTACAAATGTGGAAGTAAAACGAAATTCTGATAAAACAAGAGGTATTACAAACGAGGACAGTGGGATGGAAAGCTGTTCAATAGACAGTCATTTAAAAAGTTTATACGTATATTGTGACGTCAAAAAGAACGACTCAAAAAAATCATCACCTGGATTGGAATTAAAAAGTATAACCAGTGAAAACGTTTATGGAAAGACAATCCCACTAATAAACTTGGTTTATCCAAGAAAAGAGAAAATTACTGAAAGTGCACAAATTACTGAAATAAATTCTAGCCCTTCCATTATGTCTAAATGTTCTCTGAACAAAAATCAAGTGGAACCTGTACTACCCTTTTATGAAGAATGGTTATACGACAAAAATAAACAGAACTTGAGCGGCGATTCAACATATAGCATTTCAAATTATCGAAAGCTTTCGGGCGAACAAAGGCGAGTCCAACCACTTGTAGCCGTAGCCAAAACGACTTACTCTCAAAAATACCCTCATGAATTAAATGTTTCAGAAGGAGAAAGGTTACTGATACTTAATCGCGTGTCGGCTCCACGTAATATAATTGAAGGTAGATCAAGCTCATTAACAAAGGATGAAGATTTCTGGCTAGTTGAAAGAATCGAGCTAAAGCATATGTCTAACCACTGTTCACGGAAAGGATTGGTGCCAGGAGAATATTTGCAAATTATTGGTGATTCTTTAACCACCCACATTTCCTGGTTTGATATTGACAGAAATGAAGCAGAAAGATTACTGCTTCTAATGGGTAACCCGTCGGGAACATATATTATACGTCCATCTTCAGGTAATTAATTTTTATTGAGTCGGCAACGCAAACATTCTTTCAGTTTTCATAATTAATTAACGTCGATAAATATTTATGATTTTCAAATACATATCAATCTAAGTAAATGTAGCATAACTACCTGACGATATACGTATATTATAGGTAACAGATTATTTATATACCAAAGTATCAGCTAAGCCATCTGTTCATGATGACGACCTTGAAGATTGAAGACTTCAAGACGATTTTCATCAAATCAGGGCATTAGGACAACTGATCTGTTACTCAGCCATCTTGATGTATATTTTAGGGGTGAAGACGTAAAAACCAGTTGGGGGCATTAGCTGAAATGCTTTTAGCAGCGTGTAATTAAGATGACTGCGAAAAGTAATTATATGTAACAGCGAATCGTATGTACCGTTCCCCAGACCTATTCATTTAGGTTCACTAATTGTACACTTAATCATTCGGTACTCTAGAATGTAACATGGGCATTTAATTTTATTTATGATAGCAAGTGTAAACACGTTTCCTTAACTGCATTTGTCGTTATAATTAAAACGGATTTACTTGTTAGTATCTTATATTTTATTAATTAAAATCTTGGAAATAATGGTAAGTCCTGGTTTCTGATTTAAAGTTGTACAGACAAACCACCACAATTTTTATAACAATTAAATACAGTTAACTGGAAAAACTAGTATTGAAATAACTAGCATCTCTGTAGCAAACACAGTTAATTAGTTCACTTACACATAATACACTGCATGCTGCTTTGCATAATCCAATTATTAATTTAGATAATTCTGTATTAGTAGTATTTCAACAGATTGTAAAAGGGGTTATTTTCTCCACTTGCTTATGTATATATTAGTTCTTACTATATTAAGTAACGTGTAAAGGATCTTAGTTTTTCTGATACAACCTTAAACCACGTAAATGCTAGTTCAGACGAAATATCGAACATACGAAATATCGAATGTACTTTATTCTATTTAAATAGAAATACAAACAGAAGAGTTTCATGAATCTGCATCATGTTAGTTCCAAAGTTAAATTTAACTAATATTTGTCATGACTTGAATTGGAAAGATAAAATAAATCGAAAACTGGAAATTTTTCCAACAATAACTGACTAGATATCGATAACTGATACTTCCCACTGGTAAACGTTGTTTTACTTTCGATGTTATAGTTAGTACGTTTATAAATAACTGGCATCTGCAGTTAAACCAAATGAAATTTATTGGCGTTTTCTATATGACTTTTAGATTCAGATGAGACATTCGCTCTATCAGTACGGTATTTGGACCAATCGACACTGATTTGGTCAGTGAAGCATTACCGAATAAGATTTAGACTGAAAGAAGAAAAATATCATATATTCCGCCGCATTTCATTTCCGACTATTGATCAACTGGTGGCACACTATACAGGTAAATCACGGACAATTATGTTCCTATTCACAAAACATCGGAAATAAAGTAGTCATAGTTAATTATGTAACAATCGGAAATAAAGGTTAGACAATTAAATTTTCTAATAAAGTTCATTAACATTGTTATAAGAACCCAAATAAAATGAAAACTTTAAGTTGCTTCTTTTGCTACATTTGCACTCCATCAGCCACTTAGATGAACTTCAGGTTCAGGAAATATTTTTTTATGAAAGTGAGGTGTAAATAAAACAATTTGTTCAATAAAATATCAACTTTCAAATAGATAGCATCAAGCTTTTAGGTGAATAAAGGGGTTCTAGAATACAGCCGTGTCAGTATGCTACAAATTTCCAGAAACGACGATCGAAAACATAATCTATGTCGAATTTCTCCAATGACATAAACAGTTATAATCCATCGAAGTCTATTTCAACTGAAAATATCTTTAGGATTAACAAAATGTGGTTCACAACCCATGTAAATTCATGTTCAATAATTCATAATATTTTGCTTATCATCAAATCACGTTTTCACTATACTTAACGAAAACTGCTAGATTTTTTTTTTTAAAAATATGGAATTCCTTCTGTGAAAGTAAAATCGCTTTTGTGAATTAATTCCAGTTCGCTATCAAATTCCAGTCATGCATTTCATAGTGTTTATTGTTTGTTATTGTGCCTTGAAAAATGAGCAAACCTACACGATATTATTCTGTTTTTAAATATACACATCCGAAAAAAGGATCTACTGTTATTAACTATTAGCAAATCACTATGTTTAATCAATGTATTCAGATCACTTCATATATATCTTAATGAAATTACGGTCGTTGGTCTCAAAAAACAGAAGTAACGATAAAACGCATTATAAAATATCGTCTGATTCGGTTCGTTAAGAAAAAGGAAATGGGGATGATGTTCAACTTGTTACATCCCATCCACTCTTTCTTGTCAACTGTAACCTCTATTAGAAATAATGTTTTGTTTGTAGACCGCTATGTAAATAGTTTCCAATTTATCGGTTTAGTTTGTTCAAATGTAATAACTTATAAATATAATGGATTCTACTCCAAGTTCTATAGAAAATGTAGAATTATTCACATTTATTATTCATCATGGAAAATTGTTGAAGTTATCGTGTGTTTAACGTAAGTAAATTTTTTGTTTCTACTCGTCACAATTATATATCAGCTATCCTAATTACTTCTTGGCTGTAATAACCAACGTTTTGTCTTATAAAGTAAATGCCGATGGAATCGCCTGCTGCTTAACTACACCATATCCGAAAAATTACGAGCCACCAACAAAATTATCTTTGCTAGAAGTAAATCGAAATAACTTTGGATTCATTAAAAAACTTGGACAAGGAAGCTTTGGTGAAGTATGGTATGGAACGTGGAATAATCAAATGCCCGTAGCGATAAAAAAATTACTTGGGAATGGTAACATGAATCATGCAAGATTTCTGAATGAAGCTGAACTTATGCACCGACTGAATCATCCGAATGTAGTCAGAATTTTGGCTGTATGCACACTTCCTACTAATGAACCAACTTACATTATAAGTGAACTAATGGAAAATGGATCTTTGAAACAGTATATGCAGAAGCTTAATCCTGTAGAAATCAGAATGAAGAATCTACTTGAAATGATGAAAGATGTGAGTTTTCTAAGTGGAATAAATGTTCAGTCTCAATTCTTTTCACCAGCAAAAAACACTCTACTAGGCAATATATCATACAATCTCTTAAAGACGCTCCGTAGAGTAATATGTGAAGTTACTTCTATTCCAAAATAATCAGTTGAAGTTAACGATCCAAGAATAAAAATTATGAGAGCGAATTCAATTTAAAATTAGCAAAATTTTTATGTAGTGAATGTTTCGCTAGCCATGTTTCTGTTTCTTTAATCTTTTAGTCACCTTAAATCACTATAATACTGTTGGTTGATATAGATATTATCTGAAATAGCTCAGCCACAAACTGAATGAAAATCTAATCTTATGAACAAAGATTTATAAAATGGAGGTATCGAAATCTAAACAAAGATAAGTAATAAATTATCAGTTAATGTTCTATACATTTCTTATTATATGCATATGTAATATTCATGAACGACTAACGCTGCCCATCTCTGAAGTGTGGTACTGATATTTCAAATAATCACGTTGACTTCCGTTTCACCATTTTACAATCATATATCTATGAAAATAAATTACGTCTAAAACTGACAACGTCATGTTCACGACATAGATTTACGTCTGAAAGTTTGGTTTGAGTAAAACCACAAGACACTTAGAAATGCTGCCAAGCTGTTTATACTAAAATGCCAAAAAATTGTTAACTAGTAGGTATGATTTGTTTCATGTAACGTGAACTGGCAAACTGGCATTATCTTCAAAGATTTTATTGAAATAAAAGTTAATTTAGGTCTACAGAGATTTTTGTGAACGCTTATCTTATTTGCAAGTGACTATCTTTGCTAATACATTTAAATTACCATAATTAGGTTTAGTATCACGGACTTATTTTAGTTAGACAACCAATGAGAACCAAGAGGCACTGAACAGCTATGATGTAAACCTACCGATTCAACATTCTCTATAGTCTCATATACAAAGTACAATAAGTAGGTTTTGAACACCTCTGTTTTTTTTAATACAAGGTTGTCGGAGGAATGGTGCATTTGGAGGAACAGCATTATGTTCATCGGGATCTAAGAGCCAGTAACATTTTAGTTGACAGTAAAAATAGACTTAAGGTGGCAGATTTCGGTTTGGCTCATTTGCTTAGTGATTCAGACGAATACATTGGAACGCTGGGTAAGTTAGACTATAACATCTGATTTCACTTAATTGTTTATATGTGATAGTATTTTGAACGCAGTCTATATTCCAAATAAGTGTTTTAAAAATTGTGTTTGATCATGCGTATCACATGATACCTTTGATGTTAAAACTATGACCCTCATGTCAATACTTGTGTTAATTCAAACTAAACAACTAAACGAAGTTTAAATAAATTAATCAAATATGTCATGAATATCAGTTATGGTAAGCATTAGTGATTCCGATCTTATTAAGAAAAAGCTCAAACATATGGTATTTTTTTCAGTGATAGAGTAATAAATTACTAAACTGCAGATCAAACGTGTGTTTTTACTGCTTATGAATAATCATTCTAAAATTATTTAGAATACACAGTTTTAACAGTATTCCTGAGTGATACCATGTATATTCATCCATAAACTAATAGACTTCGACCACCTTACTTTAACAATTTATTACTTGAAATAAAATTTTGCCACCAGACTAGTACAATAGATTCTTTCCCAAAAAAGCCAATATTTAAATTCGACTTGGCACTTGTCCAGTCTGTTATCATATCAAAGGAAGAAAGATAGCTTTTTTGTTTTAATGTGTGTATCTCCTCCCAGTCATAAATTTTTTCGAGATGAGACATGAAACTAAGTTCTATTGCTTATTTTATCATGTGCAGCTCTTAGATAGATTTTTCTATCACTTTTCAAATGTTCTCACTTAAGTAGTTTAAAACTTTCTTGATATATTTGTCATTGAACGATTCTCTCCTAAAATATGACTGAAGATCATCTGGTAGGGAAGCATTACAAAAACTAAAATCTACCCGTTTTTGACTTTCCGCCCTTAAATCTTATTTAAAAACCTTTAAAATCAAAACTCCTCTCGAAACGTATATATGGGTGATTACACCAGCAGTCTGAACAGCTGGAAAAATAATCCACTAGAATCACCAATCATTAAGCTTGCTTGAGCTTCAGACTATAACATAGAAAAAAAGCATGAATACGTACATCTGACAGAAATTGATCCATATTAAAACCATTATTTTAGTAGACTACAACAAAGTAGTTTTTTCAGACTGGCTGATGTTTTGATTCTTTGTTTACTTGAAACAACATTAGTTTTTCGAACTTCTTTATTGACTTTTAGCATTGCAACTGATCAGTCTCATCCGCGATATGTGCATCCTGTACCTATTGCCTTAATCTTGGTATTAAGCCACAAGAATTATAAACAGAGATGGTGGCTAGCAGTCGAATCCAACTCTGGAATACAGGTACATCCAGTTAAAAAATCCCGAAAAAAAATGAAACTCAAGTCTTGGATTCCACTGCTAGCTGACACCTATCTCTGCTTCCAATATTAATGTTGTTAAGTAATTACTTTGTAATTCAACCATTAAGTTTTTTTCAGTAACTATTGTTTTAATAATGAAATGACTTTCTATTTGTCTGTCATCCTTACCGAAATGCACAACAAAAATCACAAACCATAAGAAACCAAATATCCCGTACGATGGACGGCCCCAGAAGGGATTTTAAAGCAAGCTTATTCAACAAAATCAGATGTGTGGTCATTTGGGATACTGGTTCATGAAATATTAACCTTCTGTGAATTACCCTACAAAGGTCGGTTAGTGTTTATTAGCTTTCTTACTCTTATGTAACCTAAAACAAAAGTCCTTTGTATTTCTAACTATAATATGGCGTAAACTATATTCACACTCAAAATACTAGCTTTGCCACTCTGCACAGAATTTGATTAGTTATAATAATATATGAAACGGTTTATGTGTAAATGGGATCCTTAAGATTGCGTAAAAACCCAAACTACAGAAGTTTCGAACACAATATTGAATGCCATCTCTGAATTCCCAAGTTAACTAGGAAATTGGGCGATAAAGGAAACACATTAGACTGCGAAGGGTTAAGTTAATAAATTAGGCCATATACAACCAAAATTTCCAACTCATTAGTTTCATGGGATTCAGTGATCGATTTCGATACAGTAATCCCAAATTCAACACATTATATGTACATTCTGGCAAACCTGACAGTGTTTACTGCAATTTACGTCAAAGTAAGACAAACAATTTAAGTGTGATGACATACTTGGTATTTAGACGAGTTTTCAGTCAAATGAGACTCACCATTCATCTTCATTATATCATCATTCAACAAACTATACACTGCTAAAAATCTTTGATAGTAATAACACTAATCGGCTTATTAAATATTATATTCAAAAAACACATATCTGCTATTTTTTTTTCTTAATCAGTTGTGTTCGTGGTGAACATCTACATTCGGTGTATTGTAGGTAAATCCTACTTTACAATATGACAATCATAAGCAGATGCTCAGTTTATCCAGGACGTTTGCTTTAGGAATGGTAAAGATTTATTCGCTTTAGAACCTTAAGTAAAGGTAATAAGGTGTACATTGCATGTGGTACATCATTTTGTTGTATATTAACCAAATGACACTAAACCTTTTCTTAAACAAATGAAAACTTAAAGTACCTATATAGCTTTCTCGGTAACATTCAATGACGGAGGTTATTCATAAGTGGTTATCAAGATAACAAGTAATTTTAGTTAATATTTCATATAGAAAAATTTACAATATATTTAGTTCAATTATTATAAAATAAACCATAAGAACTTGTTAATTACTTTGGCAGAAATAAATCGTATTTTCGTTTGAAACAAACAATGGATCAGTTGAATATTATCTTAGCTGAATAAATATTCTGAACAGTAGTATGATGCACTAATCTTTTATTGTCCAGGTTTGTAAACAGGTGTTAAGATTCTAGAGTACAAACTAAGATATAACGTCTATTTTTAAACCTCAGTATTCCGACTTTCTGTAAATCTTAATGGTGTTAAGAGTTATGGTTGAAATGATACTGGAAGTAGCATAGTTATAATGTTCACTCATATATCACATGTGGAATTCAAGTGCCGCTAAATACTAGCAACAAGATATGAACAGGGATTTTAACTAAATGAGTGAAACAGTCAATATACTTCTTTAGACTAAACAAAATTACTTGATTTATCCACTGACGAACATCGTCTCCAAGCCTGTATTGAAAGTAATTTTACTACTGATCACTGAGTATCCTTATGATAAATTACTTACCTTCATTTAAATATTTCATTACTGAAATTTCTATCCAATATCCACCATAAACACTGGGGTAATTTTACAAAATAATTATGATTTTTTCCTCCTAGTCCCGGAATATTTGATGAATCCCTATAGCCTAACAAGCATAAACCGGCCCAATATAATTGGAGAGCTACTGCTTACTTACCTAATTACGCCTGTTACCCCTCGTGGAGAGGCATACATTTTTCATCAGCATTCTTCATACAATTCTGTACTCGACAATCCTTTTCAGTTCTTTCCAGTTTCTATTCATACTTTTCATGTCTCCTCCCGATTCCAGACGCAGAGTTTTCTTCAGCCTTCCACTTTTCAGTTTCCCTTCACGGTTTCAAGTTAGTACTTGCCTTGTGATGCAGTTTGGTGATTTCCGTAATACATATCCTATCCACGTCAAACGTCTTTTCCTGATTCCCTCTCTCTCACAGTAGACTGTTGCTGATGGTATCCAATCAACGAATATTCAGTATCTCGAGTAGACAATTGTTTACAAATAGTTGTTCGTTTTTGATGATGGTTGTGGTAGTTCTCGAAGTTTCAGTTCCGTACAGTGGAACCGTCTTGACGTTCGTATTGAAGATTCTGACTTTGATATTGGATGACAGACAGTTGTTCTGAGTTCCATATATTCCTTAACTGTAGAAGAATAGATGTGACTCTTGATTTGCCAATCCTCACCTTCACATCTGCATCGAATCACGCTTGTTCATCGATGATGCTGTCCAGGTACTTTATGTGAAAATTTCTACCTCTTCCCGACTTTCTTCCTGAGGTGTGATTGGATTGGTGTTCTCCATGTTGTATTTGAGGATCTTTATTTTTCCCTTGTGTATGTTGAAACCTACTGATGAAGAGGCTTCTGCTACACTGGTTGTCTTTAGCTGCATTTGTTTGTGTGTGAGTGTGTGTGTACATGGGATAGAAAGGTTAGATCATCTGCGAAGTCAAAATCGTCTAGTTGCATCCAAGTAGTCCATTGTATTCCGTGATTTCCCTCAGATGTCGAGGTTTTCATAATTCTGTCAACCACTAGAAAAAAGAAAAAGGGTGAGAATGAGCAGCCTTGTCCGACTCCGGGCTACTACTGATAAATTAAACTTACTGATTAAATTGTAACGATTTCTGTGGGATTCACTCATTTCTTAGTATTTACTTTAGTTTTATTTGAACTTTATAAAATCTAAGGAGGAAAACTCACTACTTTCATATGTGTTGCAGCATATTTTCTTTGTGGCAACTACCGCTTTCGTTTGAGTAAGCTGCTGATAATTTGGAATTTACGTCTCCATTAAATGACCTATTGTTGCATAAACCATAAACTAAGGATAAAGCTAACAGAAAAAAATTTCGTATAACCCAGTACACTTTGCTGATCACTTAATTAGACTAACTGTCATGCATATTTATTTCTTAAATGATGTGGTTATTCATTCACTAGGGACAGAGGAAAGCAACTTTACGTGCAAATACGATGAAAATCAATGTGATTTTTGGTATCGTGATGGTTTGTCGTCGTTTTATGTATTAAAAGGTTAACCAAGTTTTGCCGATAACTAATACGAAAACGTTTCTTATCTGATAATTTATACATTTGCACAAATGTAATTCACATTCTAAAATCCTATAACGTTATTAACTAATTTACACAAAGAAAAAGCTAGTAATAAGCAAGTGATTCATTATCATTCTTGCACCTGTTTACATTAGTAATCAAGACCACCGCATAAATAACACAGATTTTATTGGCACACACACACACTATTCCTAATATCATAGGCACTAGTGTCTTTACTAAATGCTTCAGTAACTGAAAATTGTCCTCTTTAGAAGGCCCGAATAGAATTATGCGACATGTAATTAGGTGCTGCATATAGTCTGAACTATAAGCTCACTAAATTATAATCGTGCTTATGGTTTAAAAGAGAACCGATTGTCTGAACTTGGTTGGTGAATAAATCTTGTCATGTGGAACTGTTTGAGAAAAGAATTTGGCCATAAATACAGAGGAATTTCGGTAATTATTCTCAAGAAAACTTACCATATTAATGATAAGGATGGTGTGAATCAAAACCTTGGTAACATTGTCTTATAAACTTGGTGAGATGATTTAGCACAAAACCTTACTTAAAAGACTATTAAAATAGAAAGTTTATTGACTCTCAAGAGTGAATAACTGGATAGCAGTATGGCTTTTATATCCCCCTAAAATCTGTAGGCGATCATTTTTATTTAAACACTAAAATAAAAGGCATCACACAATTGCTAGGATTTACACAAAGAATTTTACTCTTAGCTATTAACAGTTATTTATTTTATTCCTTATTGGTTCATATGGTTATTCGGTATTTCATAGTATTTAATCTTTATTCCATTTTCACCACAATTTCAGAATTCACTGTCAATGAAGTCAAAGTACGCGTGTGTTCAGGTTACAGATTACCTCGTCCCATATTGAAAATATCCTTCACAGAAACTCTTCTACCTGTAGATGATGAGTACGAGGTTCCCAAACGAAAAAGTGTGGAAACTTTTATGTGTCCTATTAATATTTACAACAAATTGCTTGAATGTTGGAATATTTCACCAGATAAAAGGCCATCATTTAATTCACTATATTCTTTTATCGAGGAATTATTAGAAAAAGAAATCAAGAAGGATATCAGTACAAAATAAAAACAGACCGCATTTCAAAACGTCCTGTTTAAATGCTCAAATATATCTTACACATGTTTTGTACTTATTTTATAAGCCTGAAAAGAAACCGAATCACTAATTTTTGTAATTGCTTCATTCCTTTCAATATAAAGGTCTTAAGGCGTCACTATTTCGTATCATGACCAATACTCTTGGTACTAAACCTTAAGTTTAGTAAATCCTAAATTTTAATCACTATAAAGCACTAGCAATGAGTAGATCAGATTCATACTTTAAGTTGTTGGTTTAAAATACAGATATGTCTTAGATATAAATATTTATTTTTGGCTCCGCCACAACACATTAAAATACAAACATAAGAGAAACAAAATAGGATATTCAATGTAGGTGGATGCTAATTTATCAATTTGTGCCTTCAAAAGTTTGGTAATTTATCTAGTAACAGAAAAATAATGAACCAGGGTTTTACTTAATGTCTGTGTGTTTGATTTTAAGATTTTATGATACATTTTGAGTTTAATCGAATGGTCAACAGTAGTATATAATTCTTCACACTGAATAATACCACACCGCTTGGATTAATTTCACTAAATTTGAACTTATGATTGAAATCCGTAATTTACTATATCTTAACGACGATGTATACTATCAAGAACTCTGATTTTGGAAGAAAACTTTTAGGATAATTAGA